ACCGCGGAAACCCAACGCTGAGAGGGCTTATTTATTTTTGCCGGTTGGACGCGTCCAGTTTTCGTTGAGAGAGGACAGGAGGGAGGAGAGGACACCATAGAACCCGACGGAGAGGCTTGCGGTCAATTAGTCTCCCGTGGGATTTTAAAATAAACACTCGTTACTGGTACTTAAAACAAAAAGCCCCTGTGTTTAATTAAATAAACTCGGACGTACTCTGAATTACTTGCGCTACGTTTTCTGCGACATTCTCTACTTCGTAGCCCACCCTCTTCTTAACCCCTTTTGTGCTACATTTAATGCATGTATGTAGAGAGAGGGCATTTTTTTTTTTATTTGAGTTTAATTTTCAATTGTATGGGGCGAGGCAGTTTCGGGGGAATTATTAGAGAACTGGAGCGTTCAAATATTCTGTTCATAAAGGTTTGATGGGTCAGTTTGAAGGTAAATCGCTGGGGGATTTAGCTGTGCCAGCGGATTGTCGGATTTTCAACTCCATATGCCTCATTAACATGAAATACATGCGCGTGAGAGGCTCTTTGGGGGAATGAACCGACTCAGTCATTATTATTGAGGTGATATCACACTTTTAGAACTGGAAAATGAGTTCTGGGCTTCCACTTCACTTGAATAATTTGATATCAATGCAAAACGAAATGGTGATTTTTATTTTGAAAGGTTTTAAAACATTAGCCAGTTTTGTTTATTTATGACAAATCTCATGAACTCTTCGATACTTTTGGCGCAAATTTTCAGTACAGTTCTTGGAAGGTTTGATCATGTTACAGCTCCACTAGACTTTCAAAGAATTTCGTTATTGGAAATTGAAAATTTTATGGAAAAATAAATGAAAACTGTTGATTTCAGTTCAATCATTCCATGAAAATGAATAAAAATCTGCAAAATTGTGATAAATATATTCTTGAATGTTCGATTGATTAAAAATTCGGCATAATTTTACAATAAATATTGATGTTGTGATAGAACATTTAAGTAAACTTGGAAATTCACGTGTTTTCTCTGCTCAAGGATTTCGAATTTCATTGAATTTCTAGGAGTAAAACACGAGGGTAAAGGTCTGTTGCATAGGAGAGAACTTGCCGAATTTTACTGGCTGAAAATCCCGACTGTACAGCGCAAGAGTTTTTTCTACACAATTTTAAGGAAAATAATCTGTAGTTTTGAAGAACGAGTGACATTTGCTGGAATATTTCTTTACTCTGGTGTAGGCTGATTGAAGTGCGGTATTTCGAGAGAAAAAAAAATGGAGCTACTAATGAATGTCCAACGACAAATGTAGAACTACTGCGCAATTGCCAATCTTGAACAAATTATGATTTCCATTTTACTATAAACTAGAGTTTATCCCAAATTTTTCGACAATAATTCCTGGATTTTCCTGCCTGCAAAGATTTCTGATGTGTTCTCCGCAACCCTTAGCTCAGGAGTATCTGGTTTAGTTAAGACGAACTAAGTTATTTGCAGTGCTTATAATCTACTTAAAGTAACGGGCATGAAATCGAAGAATGAATTAAAATTATTCTTCCATTAGGTTTCCAATGTTTCGGAAAAATGAACTGATGTTCGAAAAGTATTAACGAAATTAGAGTAAACGATAGCATCCCATAATCCACTCTCTCCGCATAATTTCCCTCATTGAGAGTGGAATGGCACCTGCATCACTAATTATTGGAGGAAAACGAGCGACAAGATGAGGGATATGAGGAAGCACGAGTGAATAAAAAACAACGGAATGAGTGCTGCAAATTTACCACTTGTCAAGTAGAAAGTCTCACCTGTATGTGTCCGTGTTTATTTATTGTAAAACGACGAGATAACTTTTACTCGGATATACTGCGCAAAAAAATGTCTCGATCAAAAGGCGTCGCATTCGATTACCGGCAGATTTTCTTTCGATTAAGAAAATAGTTCTTTATTCAGAACAAGAACTACTGTTTGAGAAATGAAAGAGATTGAAAGTTGTGTGTTGTACCATTGGAAAGATCTATAAAAGATCTATATTCTCTCTGTGTAGAGAACACTTTTTAGCAAACTTTTCTCTCTGTATGGACGAACACTTTTCGATTAGCACATAATAAAATCTAAGCATAATTAAATTTCACAATTTTGACGCAGTCAAGACGAAAGTTTACGATGAATTTATCGAGCCCATGTTGTGACTCTCCTCGCGACACTAATTATTTATCTCAATTCATATTATGATCATGATTTCCCCGATTTCACTAATTTTTCTCACATGTATCCATAATAAAATTTCTATCATCACAGGGGAAGTGGATGCAATTTCGATATCTGTTATTATACGGATGTACACAAGAAGCCATCGAGCTTCTGATAATAAATACCTTCGGATCTTTCATAAAGATGTGAGATTTCACCGCTTCACATCCTTCGATTAATCGTGTTCATTTCATCCGCTCCATTAATTGTGAAAATATTGTCTGAAAATAAAATGCTCTGCACCCGGCTAAATCACGCGCTTGAATACAGTAGAACCCTCTATTTAAAATTTTTCTATTCATCTCAATAATATTTATGTTGGAAACAAGTGAAGCCATGTATTCATTTCAATTAAAATGATTTAATTACTTCAAATGGATAATTTAACAGTTCCAAATAAACCTCTTTGATTGATCCTAACAAAGTTTACACCTAAATTGAAGGGATTAAATTGAGCATTGATGTTCAGGTTTCACTGAAAATTCAATGAAGTTGTTAAATTTCCATCTCACTCCCACTTAAAACACATGAATTTCGTTGAATTCTACCTTAAACTAGAAATTTCATAACTGTTTTTCCCCTGAATTCGATTTAATGTCACTCTTATGAAAATTACTATCATATTTTCCATGAAATTTAATAACTAATTGTAGATTATTGCTAAATCATCTTCTAGGAAAGACATTGATCGATTATCAATATGCAAATGATTGCGGGATTGTTTCCAAATGTAGATATGCCCTCACCATCCGTACTATGGTAGGCAAACTTAATTGAATTTGATAAATTAGAAAATTTGTTTTCTCAAAAAAAATTGGCGAACGTTTATCGAAAATTTAACAAATGGTTGTCAAATGAAGCTGAAAAATCTTTTCTAAATTTTAATTAATTAGCTGTTGAAGTTTAATAACTGGTTGAAATAACTAATTCATTTTTTCAACGACAAGTTGGTGAATTTCATCTAATAATTTTTTCTGTGTTTATTATCCATTTTTCTGAAAATGGAGAGTTTCGTCTGACGCCACGTGGGTAGTTCCCGATTATGTCAGTGGAGCACTCACCCATGACACTGAAAGTCAATGACTACCCGAGCTATATTCTTTCCATAGATAAAATGACTTCTCAATAATACCGGCGAAAGCCCCCCGATTAGCATTTATACACCTGAACGCCTCGCATCATGCCCCCGTTCATTGTATTTCCCTGCAATAAAAGTTAATCACAGCCGTCTGACGACCCATAAGCACCACTCGACAATATTAACCAATGTCCTAGTGGAATAATTTTCGATAGTTTTCAGCATTAGCTCCTAACAAACGAGCGTGCCAGTGAACTTTAGAGATCGCGAAAAAAAGAGGAAGTCGAAAGCAATGAGGAGAGAGCGCTAGTGCATATAAGGGGAATCCTGATACACGAGTGTTCCCAGTGATGTTTTTCACGCGGTCGATAGTCGCCCGTCGCAGACGAGCTCGGATATCATTATGAAGATTATTGTAAATGAGTTTGAAGTCTTTAGTTTCAGTTGTAGAGCGAATTTCCTCTATTCTATCTTTATTTTTAAAGTGGACAAAATCCAGTGTTCGGAAAAATAAGATCATCATTATGTGATAACGCACAGATGAAAATCTCAACGAAGAATTATGAGAGAAGTGCAGCAAATTCCGTTACAAATTCATTCTTTGTTTCATATTTTTCTTTGATTTCCAATAAAAATTCCGGGATGCTTGTTGTTTGATTAACTAGATTTTACGGTAATTTTTCGTTGATTTTTGTCTTCGTGCAGTGATTCAACAGATTAGTTAATAAGTTTAATGCTTAGAAGTTCATGAGTTCTCACTGGATTAAGGAATATTATATGCGGTTTTGAGAGATTGATTCGAGACCGATTCAAGATCGGCTGAGTGAAATTGAATAATTTTTTTTTTTAATCTGGGTTCAAAATGAGATTTGATTTATTCAAATCGGGGATGTTGGGGATTCATGGAGAGGAACCTCAGTTCATATTTTGGAATAATTGAACTGTTGAAGAAAAATTAAATCTCAGAGATAGATGATTAGTAATTTTCAGGACAGTGAAATTTAATTCGATCTAAGGCGAAAGAATTGTAAAATTTCGGATTTCACGAGAAATTCAATGAAGTTCCAAATTTTTGAATAGCAGGAAGACGGAAATTCCTCAATTTACTTCAATTTTTAGTCAATTGAGGAATTCAAGAATATTTTTACCTGAATTTCCATTATTTCTATTAATTTTCGTGGCATAATTGCACTAAAATTCACAGTTTCTATTTATTTTTCCATAAAATTTAGATTTTTGAATGACGAAATTTCTGAGAATTTCAGTGAAATTATAATGTGATGAAAGTTTCCAAGAAGTGAAGGATGTAATACACTGTTAAACGCTTACAAAATCCTGTTTTTGCAGAAAGTTCCGGCACAATTCTGGAAAATTTTTGCCACACTACAGTTTCATTAGAATTGAAAGAAAATGTCGTCAATAAAAATTCAAATTTTAATGCAAAAATAAAAAAAAACTTCAAATTTGGGTTTAATTATTCAATGAAAATTGATAGAAGACAAAAATTCTGGTAAATATGGTTTTGAATGTTCAATTAATTGAACATTCAACGTCACTCGGTACTGAATATTCATGTTTTGATTGAATTCACTGTCACTCTCCTGAAAGTTAGTAACCAACTATCCATGCAATTTCTTTTTTTTCTAACAGCATAATTAGTGATATTTATTTTGTTACACAGCTGCTGTTATTATTACTATGGAGCACATCATCGGAGGCATTATTTTTCAACTAGTAAGTTGATGGGGCTCACATGAAAGCTCTGATGTTCGACTCCAAAAGTAGAAAAGCATTTCACTGGAGAAAAAATAGCCAAAGTATTTCAGTGAAAATTTCTGAGAACTAGACCTTTTTCTCTGATTCTCAGTGAAATTTCACTGCAATCCCGTATTTTTCGTCTCTGAATTTCAGGACCCGGTGATACTATTACTGGAAACTAAAAACTTTTTCTCTGTATAATAATTAATCGTCTGAAAAATGTGAATTTACGGATCGAGTGAATGTGAGGCAATGATTTTTCGTTTCAGTCCAAAGAATGTGCTCATGAACTTCTTCAGTTCCCTCCGAGAGAAGAAGGAGATGAAAAAACCGCCACCAATACCCGACATCCATCACTACCATCTGCATTATTATCCAATTCACGTGCAGAGTATTCATACATCAATGAAATCCCTGAAAGCCCCCGACAAACACGAGCTGGAGACCATCCACACGTATGGGAAATCTGTATCCTTCCGAGGTTCATGCAAATTGTTTTTTGTCACACGTGGTATTCACATTTTCAGAAATAAATTGGAGAATTATGGATGGAGCCAGCAGGAGTACAGGTACATGAGTGATCCAGTTATTCATCATGTACCGAGTTTTCTGGGGCCATGGTCCATGTTAGAGTCACATATTCAACATCCTCCCGAGGTTACTGTGGAGGAGGCGAATGAGGGGGAGATAAAGTTTCACGGTGAGCGATATTATTTGACAAATTAGTGTACTGAGAAAAAAATTCCAATATCTGACAAGTAAATTCCAATATCTGACATAAGTAATTTATCTTCAATCGTTTAATTCAACATAAAGGTCTCATGCTTTAAAATATTCTTGTACTCAAATATTATTTTGCCGCAAATGGACTCACTCAAATCGCGAAGAAGAATTGGCAATTTTCAAGTATTTATTGTTTTCATGCGCAAACATTCTGCGAGTTAAGCCATTTATAATAGTTTACTTCTGTCAAGTAAATATGGTGTACATATTAGGAAATTTTTCTCTCAGTGTGTATTGTTAGAAAAAAAATGAAATTTCGTGGACAGTTGACTAGTAATTTTCAGGAGAGTGACATTAAATGCAATTTAAGGGGGAAAAATTATGAAATTTCAGAGTTCACTAGAAATCCAATGAAAGTACAAATTTTTTAATAACATAGAGATGAGAATTCCTCAGCCTATTTGAATTTTTATTTGAATTAGGAGTAATTTTCAATTTATTGGAAATTCAAGAATATATTCATCTGCATTTTCTTGATTTTTACCCATTTGCAGGGAATAATTGAACTGAAATTTTCAATTCTCGTTCGTTATAATAAACAATTTTTATTCAAGACATTGGAGACTTTAGCAAATAGTAAATTTTCATTTGATAATCGCCGAAATGCAAATGAAAATCGTTCCTTTTGGAGAGATTGACTTTTTATAATATTTCAGATATTATTAGTGCTAAATAAATGCATGGATCTTTTTTCAATTTAGGTAGGAGTTTCTCTGCTTCATTGAAGATCGACGAAATTGTTCTTGTACCAAAAATTATTGTTTCAATTTAACAAAATAGATTTCTCATTTGGAAAATAGTAGACCGTTATGGAGAGGAGGCAGTTGGCAAGTCTGCTGGTATTCTAGTGCAAGTGCCCCTGCATCAACAGATCATCATCCAACAGCCAGTGAAAACAGAAAAACCCAAGGAGACACATCCTCTCGTTGCATTTCTGGAGAAATTGCGAAACTTCAAAAATTCAATTTTCCATGCTTCTTCTGACAAAATCGAGGAGAAGTCAGACGATTTCTCCGACAAAGTTAATGCATTCGTAGTTTTTAGGCGCCCCAAGTCGAAAATATTCCGATAAAACTTTGTTAAGATATTAGAATTAAGTAAAAACTATTAGAAAGTTTTGCGAAAATTCGACAGCTCATTCAATGTGAATTAGTCATAGTTAAAAGTTCCATGAATTTGTTACTATAAATTGGAGGATTAATTTTCTAACACTGAATAAGAGTAATTGTTGAATAATGGTTATGAATTCTGTTGAATAAATCGATTGTTGTCATGAGTGCTGGAGATGATTTCCAGTGCTATTCACGTGATTTTTCTGTCTGAACCTATCAACCGTTGGTGAGCATGGCCCATTCAACGGAATGACTTGTTCAATACTTAATTCGCGAGTATAACAGCGCAGGAACAAACGGCGGACAGAAATCAGCGGGCGACGGGGTGAGGGGGAGAAATAGAGAGAATACAAGACATAAATACAGTGCACGCACGGTTATTTAAGGGGCTATTACATTTTTATGGCTCAGATGACGCATGGCTCTGGTGGTGGCGTACCATCGTCTTGGGTATATAGGCTAACGCGTCGTGGTATATCCAGTAGCAATTCTTTGGAACGCCTTCATAAGCCCACGAAATATCTCAAACACAATATCTTATGTCGATTTCAGCGTTTTTTTTCGATCTAAGTAATTCACATCAACAAATGCTGTATACTTTCAATATAATAAATTCAAAAACTCAAGGAGTTTTGAAAACACATTATGAAACCACAACGAACCATTTCACGGTTGCATAGCACCTCATCCATTTCCCACCTTTGAAATCAGTTTGACTTGACAATCGACGGAAAGGAGAGCGGTTACGGTTACCAAGTGGTTTTACACCGGACCATAAAAATTTATTTGAACAATGACGCTCGTCGTCTAACCATCAGCACCCCATCGCTCACGACGCACAGCAAAAAAAGAAATAAAGAGTAACGAGGATCATCCCGCAATACCACACCGGAAATGATAATAAAAGCTGCGGTCTAGGGTACAACACGAGACGCAAAAACAAACGAAACAATTTGATATTTAACGCGGGAGACGCAGATTGTTGTCCCGATTCCAGTTTTTTATTCTGAAATCGAATTGAGAGTCCGTGGGAATCCTATACCGTATTTTTTCGTTGATCTCGTTTATCTGATTCTTCCGCCGCGATTCGGATATTTTCGATTGGTTTCCATTTTATTCGGAGGGACTCATATTTTATCCACACGGTATTTAATTTTTTCATATGCCGGTTTCGCTGGACAGAATAACGGCACCGTATGGGTGTTATTGCTCCTCTTGATTTTAAAAATGGTTTTTATTTTAGTTTTATTCAAATGATGGAAGAATTTCACCGGTGAAATTCCAATTGGTAGAATTTTTCGTTTTCATCAGTTTTTACATGGAGATAAAAAATTACAGCGCTAGAAAATGTACTGTTCGAAAAAATTGAAAAAACATCAAATCTTCAGCATCTTTTCGCGTCTAAGTTCTGATTCCCAGTGAAAGTCTCGGCATCCAGATGCTGGAAAACATTTTTTTTCCGTGAAGCTACAGTTGGAATTAATTAAGTCGTACAAGTAATCGTAGATTAGTGAATTTTATTCATTAATTTTTGAGTAATCTTCTGTCACAAGGGATGAATTTTAATTGCCGTCACAGACGAATTCCCTATTCCTAAAGTCGTAAAACTAGAACGAAAAATTGAACCATAAATTACGAAATGCCGACAAGTTCAGGGGGTCTTGTAGTTAAGCGATGTTGGTGTGAAACCGCAGGTATCATTAATACCAAATGATGTATTTCAGTTCTCGAGTCGTTTTGTTTACGACACTGGAATGGATTCGGAAGAATTGGTTTCTCCAGGAGAGTGATTTATCTCGACGTTTTGGTTATTAAAAGCTTAATATTGAAGAAGAGCGAGAAGGCGTTAATCAATCAAATTTAATGTAATAATATCAAAGGTTTTTACGCGAAGTGAATAGTACAGGAAGAATTCTGCAAGAATACTGAGAGAAAAATTTCTTAATGTGCAGACCATATTTACTTGAGAGAAATTAATTATTTTCAATGGTTTAAATCTCAGAATGTTCGCGCTTCATGGAACTCGAATGAATTCTCATTTATCACTGTCGTTCCAAGTTACATCATGACATTAACGTTATGATATTACATATCGAAACATTGGAAGTGCATGAAAAAAATCATGAAAACAGTAAATACTTGAAGATAGAGGATTCTTCCATGTGATTTTAGTGAGTTCATTTGCGACAAGATCGTACTTGATTACAAAAATATTTTAAAACATTAGACCTTTCTCGGGCCGCGTGAGTCAAGCGATTGAAGAAAAATTACTTGTTGGAAGTAAATATGTTTCAGATCTTAGAAATTTTTTTCTCTCAGTATATTGACAATAGAAAACTTCTGCGTCTCCGCGAAAATTGTCTGGGCACATTGGTAATTTTGGAAACGAATGAATTTTTGATTAGCCTAGAAGCCGAGAGGCTAGCCGAGAAGAAATAAGATTTAATTTTTGTGAAATTTAATGAGTGCGAAATTCTGAAATTCAGTGATTTTGAAACTAATTTTTAGTGACATCACTAAAGTGTAAGGGATTAATCGCTAATTTTTAGGAATCCATCACCAAATTTCAGTAATTGCAATCACGAATGATCAAGGTTATTGTAGCTAATGTCCAGTATCACCAATAAGTGGTGATAGATTTCTAAACATAATTTATAAACCCTTCAAAATTCGGTGCATGTTCCTCATTACCAGTGACACATTTCTGAACATCAAAAAACTTTATTTTCTGTGCAGAGAAAAAAATTAATTTTCAAGGAAATGTCACTGATTTTGAGGAATCTATCCTGAATTATAAGAGATTCGCGATTGTAAAATTCAACGAGAGCGAAATTCTGAAATTCAGTAATTTTGTTACCAATCTCGAATTTTTCGGGATCCATCACCAACAATTGGTCATAGATTTCTGAAAATCAGTGACATGTCCCTGGTAACTGCCAACACTTTGGAAATCAGTTACATGTTCCTAAAAAAAAAAACATTCTCTGTGCAGTGCTCCAATGTTTCCCACTCTCCATTAATGATTTACGAAGCATTCACAATGTCATCCTCTCTCATCGCGACTTCCCTAAACCCTCCAACCCCGGAATATCGCCAGAAAGACAAGGTAATAAAATCAAACATCAGTGGTTAAGCCGTTGGCACGGATGAAAAAAAATGTTCCCCGTATTCGTCTCGCATTAACCGAAGCCACTTTCATTCTCAATTTCGCATATAACCGTTCCAAACTGCCCAGTGTATATATCCGTTTCCCAGCCAGTGATTCTTGGCGCGTTTAGTCTGTTACGATGAAGAGTGAGAGTCGGTTGGTTTGTGCGAATAATTAAAAAGTAGAGGATAAAAGGGAATCGGAAGGTCCAAAGCCGCAGGAACGAGAGATCGGCGTGTTCGTCCGAGGGAAAGAAGAAAATCTAATTAATTTCCGTAGCGCAAGGCTGGCTTTTTGCACTATATGTACAGATACGAATGAGAGATGAGATAAAAGAGAAGGAGAAAAAATGAAAACAGCGGTAAATGTTGTTTTAGGCTTTTATGTCCGATGCACACACACACACATACGTACGATTCCCGTGGAAATTCGTTCTCTCCGGCGATCGTGGCGAGTGTACGGAGGATGAATAAAGACAGACACTGAGTGTCCAGAAGGAGAGAACCCGGAAAGTCCGTGGATGAGGTGTATGAGAGACAGAAACCGTTGGCTCGCGGACGCGGGGAATGAATTTAATTTTTTTTCTCCCCCCCATCATTTTTTTTTCGTGCTACTCGTCTCCACCCACTGCCGCAATTAGAAACGAGCTTACGCTTGACGTCCGAATACGCACGGAAATCAACGGGCTACCTCGTTTCCTTTCCATCGTGTTTCGACGTTTCCATTTCGCCGATGAAATTAGAAGAAAAAAAGACGGCGGAAAGTGAGGACAGATGGAGGAAAAGAGGGGAAAAAAGAATTGGTGACAATTCGCATCTGCAATCAGTTGGTTCTATGGTGGCGACTGATTGAAATTCACGAATGATGAATTCATCGGGATACGGAGAACAAATGAGGAATAATCTTGTTGATTCCTCTACTTGAAGAGAATAGATATTTATAAAAACAGCCGTGATTTGAGGGGTTTGCGGTTATAGGATTTTAATGACTTCAAGTATTATGCAAGATGATTTCATGAGTAATGCTGACTTCGAAATGATTTTATTAATCTTAAGTTAATGATTTCAGGGGAATTGAAGTCATCGGAGTGAGGCAAAATGGGCACACAAAAATAGCATGAATATTTTCACTCAAATTAAAAATGACTTTAAGTTGACTAGACTAATTGACTTTAAGTGACTAGAGATGACGCCGGAGGTGTTGAAACCACTAAACACGCATGGAAAATTCCAAATAAATAAACAAAATTTCCGCAGTGAAGTGATAAACTAGGATAAGTGCAAGAATGAAACTTCTAGGAGAGTTCAAAAATTTGATGACGTTTGAGAGAACTTTCGATTCAAGCAATAGAAAATTTTTCAACAAAATTCACTTATCCTAGTTCACCACTTCACTACAGATTTATTAATAAGTGTCCTAAAACGCAATCAAATGTAATGAAGCAAAAGTTGAATAGCGCCTTCAAAGTTTCCCTCAATTTCTTGAAGTGGAGTGAGTGGTGACGCACACAGTCCTCACCGTGACGACTGTCGGGTAATCCACTTACCATCAGTTGATACGACGCACCGCGGTCTCTGTTCAGGCCATGATATATATCTATATCACATTAGTCCACTACGGCAAATTGTACTCGCCACAGTGGACTATCACTCGTCCTTTGATTAACATATTGCTTTGCGACGCTGCAAAGGACCTACTCCGGACCTATTCTCTCGTGTTACAATACGTCACTTCCGTGGATGAAGCCAGACGTTATTACAGAAATGGGGTTTGTGGGTGGAGAAATTTAATCAAGGAGATCTTCGCTGTCTG